AACCTTCTTCTCTCTAACGAAAACAGCCTCAAGACCCTCAGCCTTTCTTTCATGTGTCTATGTTTCATTGATATTCTGTGTCCCCTCCCATTGACAGACTAGTTTAAACTCCTCCCAACAGCACAAGCAAATCTATCTGCAAGGAAGTTGGGCCCAGTGTGAGTCAGGAGCAGACTTTCCCAAAAATACATGTCCCACCTTCCCCAAAAATAGTTCCAGTGATCCTGGAATCTAAAACCCTCCCTCTTGCAATAATACAGTTGTATAGGACTTTGGTTTGACCACATTTGGAATGCTGCATACAGTTCTTGTCGCCACATTACCAAAAGGATGTGGATGCTTTGGAGACGGTGCAGAGGAGGTTCACCAGGATGTTGCTAGCTATGAAGAGAGGTTGAGTAGATTAGGATCATTTACATTAGAAATACGGAGGTTGAGGGGGGACCTGATTTAGGTCTACAAAATCATGAGAGGTATAGACAGGGTGGATAGCAAGAAGCTTTTTCCCAGAGTGGGGAACTCAGTTACTAGGGGTCACAATTTCAAGATGAGAGGGGAAAAGTTTAACGGAGATATGCGTGGAAAATTCTTTACGCAGAGGGTGGTGGGTGCCTGGAATGCGTTGCCAGAGGCGGGCACGATAACGTCATTTAAGATGTATCTAGACAGATACATGAATGGGCAGGGAGCAGAGGGATACAGATCCTTGGAAAATAGGTGACAGGTTTAGATAGAGTATCTGGATCAGCGCAGGCTTGGAGGGCCAAAGGGCCTGTTCCTGTGCTGTAATTTTCTTTGTTCTAATACCTGAGTCACACATTCATCTGTCTTATTTTCCTACTTCTGAGGTAACGAGAAACATCTGCATAGAAACAAAGATGAACTTTTTAAAAAAATTGATCGTCTCATTTCTGATGAAGCCAGAAATGAGTGGGTTTTGCCCCATTGGATAAAAGGCTTAAAAGCATGATTTGTGGTTCAATTGTTTAAGTGAACTCAGAACATTTCTTGAATTTTCATTTTATCTTTCTACAGCTAATACAATTGCTCTTTCTCCTTGAATTTTTAAGTGATTACTAGTTAATTAGAGTGCTAACTTTTCTTAATAGATCTCTGAAGGGGAAAATTGAAATTTCATTCCAACTGCATATGCAAATAATTCACTACTAACTCTAGAAACAAATGTGAAAATTAAAAGCAAACTGCTATTAAAAACATTTTTTCACTTAAGTAGAAGTGAGTGAATCAGTCTGAATCTGCATCATTCTGTTGGCTGACTAATTGCCTAGGAGTTCACTCATTGGATGGAATTTAATACCATCCTGGAGGTGAATAGGGAGACAAGGTCTATTTAATCTGACAGGAAGGTGTAAGATGAAGAATACCTTCCTGATTCCCCTTGATTAAGGCCAGGGTGAGAAGGATCAAATTGATTCCGGTATTCTTCGGCATTCTGTGGAACACAGGGACTTTACCCTGTTTGTTCATAAATCTCTGATGGTGAAGGACAAGTTACTCAGGTGGTGAAAAAGCCATTTGGGACACTTGCCTTTATCAGTCGAGGCATAGATTACAAAAGCAGGGAAGTCATGTTAGAGTTGTGTAGAACTTTGGTGAGACCAAAGTTAGAATACTGTGTGCAGTTCTGGTTGCCACATTACAGGAAGGATGTGATTGCACTGGAGGAGGTGCAGAAGAGATTAACCAAGATGCTGCCTGGGATGAAAACTTTAAGTCATGAGGAAAGGGTGGATAGGCTTGGGTTGTTTTTATTGGAGTAGAAAAGCCTGGGGAGATTGACGGGATTGACAGAGTGGATAAGGAGCAGCTGCAACCCTTAGTCGAAAGGTCAGTTACGAGGGGACACAAGGTTGAAAAGAGAGGCAGAAGGTTTGGGGGAGATGTGATTAAAATCTTTCTTAACCAGAGGGTGGTGACAGTCTGGAATATGCTGCCTGAAATGGTGGCTGAGGTGAGTTGCCTTACATCCTTTTAAAAAGTACCTGGATAAGCACCTGGGCCAAGTGCTGGTAAGTAGGATTAGGTTGAAGGCCAGGTGTTTCTCATGTGTCAGTGCAGATTCAACGGCTGAAGGGTCTCTTCTGCTCTGTATGATTCTACAACACTTTGGTTCTTTCAGCTGGCATTCCACCAGCAGCAACCCACCAAATAAATACAATTATGCATGCAGCCTGGTGAGGGTACCTGTCTCACCTGTAGAGCATTTACCGAATGGAGTGACATGGGTCATGTAATTCAAAAAATATAATTGCATTTACCTTTCTATATTGACACAGATTTGGGGAGGGCTTGCTCCTGAAACATGGTCCAGCATCAATAAGACTCTATCATCCTTGCAAATGTAATTCATGCAAATATAATGGAATAAATTTTCATACTGCTTGTCCATGGATGAGCAGAAATTTCCTTCAGTTAAATATTGGGATAACTGAAGCCATTGTCTTTGGTCCTTGCCCCAAACTCTGGCTCCCAGCTACCCATTCCATTCTGAACCCTGGCAATTGTCTGAGCCTCAACTAGACTGTTTGCAACTGGCAGAAGGATTAGAAGGGACGTGAGGAAAAGCTTTCTTACGCAGAGGATGGTGGTGTTTGAAATTCACTGCCTGAGTTGGTGGTAGTGGCAGAGACCTTGAATTTTTTTAAAAAAGTACCTGAAACTGCACCTTAAGTGCTGTGAGCTGCAGGGCTATGGGTCATGTGCGGAAAGATGGGATCAGAAAGGGCGTCTGAGTGTCTTTGAGTCAGCATGGATAAGAGGGGCTGAATGGACGCCTTCTATGCTGTATCATTTCTATGGTGTCTGTTGTTAAGTACACAGTTGATCCCAAGATTAGCCTTCAACCACATTTCCATACTGTCACTAAAACATTCAGTTTCCACTCCTGTAACATTACCTAATACTGTCCCTGCCTTAGGCTATCTTCGGATGAAACCCTTGTGCGTACCTTCATTACCTCCAGATCTGAGCATATTCCTAGCTGGCCACGCATATTCTACTCTTCACTAACTTGAGGTCTCCCGAAACTCTGCAGCCTGTGTCCAAAGTTGCACCAAATCTGATTTAGCTGTCACCTCTGTGTTTGCTGACCTTTACATTTTCCAGTTAATCAATAGCACAATTTTAAAGTTTAGATCCTTTTTAACAAACTCACCTCATCTCTATGATCCCAAAATTTCAAAAGTATTTGTTCTTCTCTAATTTGGGCCTCAAAATTAATTATTCCTTCATTATGACTGTGCCCTTAGTTGTCTTGGTTACATGCTGGAATTCCCTCTTTAAACCTGCCAACTTCCCTCAGCTTGCTCTTTTCCTTTAAGCCACTCCATTTAATCCATTGTTTCAACCTAGCCTTGGTCACTTCAACTATCTCCTCATGTGGTACAGTTTTTTTTGTTTGCCTGGGAATATTGTATTACATTAAAAACACATTATAATTACAAGTTGCTGTTTCACTCTAAAGGGATAAAGTGTCTTTATTTTCACACATTCTATTTGTTGCCATTGAAACATTGGGAAAAGTGGAGAATGAAAGACTGTTAATACTACAAAATAGTAATTGTAGTGATTCTGGGACTAGGTTTGGGTCCCTTCCAGGAAGCGATCAAAGTGTATAAATCAAAGTCACTGAGGATTTTCATACATTGTGAGAGCCTAAGGACAGAG